CTCTTATTCCTATTCCCCCCCTTTTTTAAGTAGAGTTATCTATTTCCCTTCTTCTCAATTCATGTTAACTAACATATTTTCCTTTGTGACCCGTTTTTCTGTTTTCCACTTTCTCAGGTCGAAAGGACAGGCACAAGCAATGTTCTTGAGACATGAAGGATTTTTAGGTGCTATAGGTGCATTTATGAGCTATGAAAAGCATGGCTTGGATGATCTAATGGTCCATCAGTTTGTCGAGAGGTTCCCTATGGGCGCACCATATATTGGAGGCAATGTGCATGGTCCACCTTTAGGAGATCTAAATGAAAAGGTAGTGTTCATTCACATTTTCACGAGCACCCATATTTTATCTATAATTATTTCTTAATCATTACAATCTTCATATTTTACTACTACATTCAAAATCTGATATCCTTTAAATTGATTACATTCGACCACTATTTAGTTTTACTTTTTACGGTTGGGGATTTAAGAGACGGTTAGTTTCAACACCTCGGATTTACGTTTCATCTTACTTTGCAGTGCATATTATATCATTAATGAAGTGGGTGTCAATGGGGCCCGGGCCCAGAAGTTTTGCTTTTTTGTACTTACTTTTATCCCTCATTTAATATGTGTTCAAGGCTATGGGAAAAAGATGGATGGTTCTTTAGAATATATTCTCTTTATTGCCTTTTTATAAAGATTCCTCTACCAAGAGGCATAAATTTTTAAGTTATCATTGCTAAATCAGGTGGAGCGGCTCAAATTTGTTAAAAATCGTTATATAATACTCATTTTCTTTAAGATCTGATACCTAAACGGCATCTCTTTCTCTGTGTCTCTCTCTCATATTGTTCCCTTTGTTCATTTTAGGATTGAATTTCAAAATGCATTTCTAATTTCGCGATGCTAACGAAGTACACGTACATTCGCAGATATCTTGGATGGAGAAGTTTGTGCTGAAAGGGACTGAAATAACAGCTCCAGTTCCAATGGCTCCTCCTGGAACTACTGGTCTTGGGGGATTTGAGGTCCCATCATCAAAAGGAGATACTTTAAGACCTGATGCTAGCAAACTGAATGTTGGGGTTCTTCATTTGGTACCGAGTTTGGAGGTTTTTCCATTGTTGGCCGATCCAAAAACGTGAGTTTGATCGTGATCGGTTCGTGTGAAATTTTCGCATACCAGTCTGTTTTTCACCTCCCTTTTTTCTTTTTTGAAATTATATCATATGCTTTTTTACCAAGATTTTTCCATTTGGCATTTGATTATCTTTTCAGTCTTGTAGCTAAGTTGCTTCTATTCGGGACAATAAGTAATTCCCATTTTATTATTATGAGATGCATTGATGATGTGGTAGTTGTACATCTGCTTTTCACTTTGGCGGATTCTATCAAGTTCCTTATTTAATTACCATATGCGTAAAGAACTATATATAATTCACAAACAAATGCATTCAAAGGTGGAAATTGCTCTACATTATTCAGCTGCTGATACTTGGTGAGATGAGAATAAAAGAAACTTATCGCGTCCAATGCAAATAATGATACAGTTTATTTATTAAATTTCATTTGGATCATATGATAATTTTTACGAAGGCTTTTAAAATTACAAAACCTTTTATTTCGTATAAATGTTTTATTCCATATACATCATATCGTAGTTAATTACCTCTACTGCATAAAGGGCAAGGATCATTTTCTCTTATTATCATTTTTTTTTTTGGCAGATACGAGCCCAACACTATAGATCTTTCAGATCATGGTGAGCTAGAGTAAGTATTATAAATTTGATTGGTGTGTCCTATTAATATTTCTTACCGAATGTCAATTGAAAAAATTAAGCCTCGTTTATAGATACAGTTTATATCAAGTTACTTAATGATCAATGTATCATTTTTTACGTAGGTATTGGTTCACTGTGCTGTCAGGACATATGCCAGACCTTGTAGATAAGGTACTCAGAAAAAATCTTTTAGGTCCAACCATGAAAAAATGAATACTATCTTCGAGACAAGCCTATTTATCCTAATATTGATAACTTGAAATTTTGAATATTTTCACTTATCTTTAATTCCAAATTTACGAAATTGCTATAAATGCAGGCCGTGGCTAGTGAAGGTGGTACAGATGATGCTAAGAGGAGAGGAGATGCGTTTGCTCGTGCATTCTCAGCTCACCTTGCAAGGTGTAAATAATTTGATTTTTTTATCTATGTTTCGCAGTCACATCTTTAATGTTACAAAATACGTAAATATATAATATCAAGTTTACTAATGAAGAAAAATTGGTTGCATAAGTCTATGAAGGCACACACTACGCAAAGATATACAATTTTATTTGCCTTTTTTTTTTTTTTCATTATTATTATTTTCCTTTTTTTTCCTTTTTGCCTCTAATTGTAGTTTTTATATTNGATTTTACATGCAAAAATGTTTAAGTTCTTGTTAAGTTACCACTTATGCTCTTTTAGTTCTCAGATAGGCCAAAAATTATGGGATATGGTGGAATACATAAAGTACCTTCACGCTCGATATATAATTACTTATTACTTCTCTTAGTTTTTTCCTGCCATTTTTTTTTCCTTTTTCTCGTATTAGAGAAAATGAGGCATCACTTGCTGTTCTACCTGATTTGTTGATGGAAATTGACCGTATGGACGAGGTACATGAACACTTATTAATTTTCCCTTTGTTTGTAAGGATGAAATTCGGCATACGTGTATATTCATTGATTCCAATTTTCAATAATAAGAAAGAAAGAAAATTATCTCATATTCTACAAAAAAGTCCTCATCTTATGAAATTTGGATTTGATAACTGAGTTATGATTATCTACCTTTTTGATTCATATATTTGAGAAAAAAAAAACAGGAAACAAGACTTCTTACATTGATTGAAGGTGTGCTGGCTGCAAACATCTTCGATTGGGGGTCCCGAGCTTGTGTCGATCTCTACCATAAAGGGACAATTATCGAGATATACAGAATGAGTCGAGACAAGATGCAAAGGCCTTGGAGGGTTCGGTTTTTTGGCATTGCTATTTATTTATATCTATGTTACAACATAGAATCAATATTATTGACCTTTTTTTTCGGGTTTCATTTTCCTGTGGTTTTGCAAATTTAGGTTGACGATTTTGACGTTTTCAAAGAGCGGATATTCGGTTCTACCGAGAAGAAGCCTCACCGGTACAATAGGGCATTGCTTTTTGTCGATAACTCGGGTGCTGATATTGTGTTAGGGATGCTTCCACTTGCTAGGGAACTCCTTCGAAGAGGAACTGAAGTGGGTATTTCCTTTTTATACATTTTATGAACTTTGCTTCTTTTTTTTTTGTGTGTGTGTGTGTTTGTCTTGCATAGCTCAAGTCGTTAATTAGAGCTTTTTTTAGGCTATATTTGGTAACCAAATAAGCTAGTTTATAGCTTATTTGGTTTGTTTTTAAGCTTTCTGTATTCAAATAAGCTTCATTTGGCACGACAAGCTTTTTAAAAAAACTCGAGTTTGTCTCATAAGCTTCTTTGGTAGCTTTTCAAATAATCTCGTTGAAATTTTTATTCAGCTATCTTATTAGCTAATTTTACCAAACACTTTTATGCTTTTCGGCTATAAGTCATAAGCTATAAGCTATAAGCTTCAAAATCACTTAGAAACTATATCAGCTAGCTTATCGATAGCTAGTTTTACTAAACATAGCCTTAATGTGATGGGTTGTTTCTTTAATTGTCGTACTTGGAAAAAAACATTCACTAATNTTCGTTTGGCTCTGATTTTCATTTGCAGGTTGTTTTGGTTGCCAATTCGCTTCCGGCTCTGAACGACATCACAGCCATGGAGTTACCGGACATTGTTGCTGAAGCTGCAAAGGTATCTATTTCCTCTTATGTACTCACACACAATAATAATTCGAAAACAATCGACAATTTCTCATCAATCACGATAACCTTCTATAAATATGGAGCTAATTAACATGCCGAAACTTTTACACCCCCCGTTACAAACCAAACAACACTTCACAATTTTCTAACTATGGTTTTGTTGCAACAGCATTTTTTTGGTTTAGCCCAGTTTTTTTGTAAAGCTATAAGATAGAAACGAGTATAAAGGGGCTAATCTGTAACTTTTGTCGGATAGTTGGTTTTTCTTGTTTTGTAATAAAAAGACTCATTTTTTTTTTATTTTTTTTTGTTTCGTCAGCATTGTGACATCCTTCGAGGGGCAGCTGAAGCAGGGGGGCTTTTAGTGGATGCAATGATTAACAATCTCGATAGCCCAAGAGCAAGATCCATATATGTACCGTTAATGGTTGTCGAAAATGGATGTGGAAGTCCGTGCATTGACTTGCGACAAGTCAGCTCCGAGTTGGCAGCTGCCGCCAAGAATGCTGATCTCGTATTTCTTTTTTTTTTCCTTTTTTTTTTAAAAAATTATTACAATTTATCTATTTATATATTTTATGTTAGGGGGTGCAAGTTTATCTATTTTCGTTATGTAACGTGTGATCGACATTAATATGTTTGCTTTTGTTCACCTTTTTTTTTCGTGCAGGTCATCTTGGAAGGGATGGGACGTGCGCTTCATACGAATTACAATGCAAAGTTCAAATGTGATGCTCTAAAGGTCAGTTTCAATGTAATTTCAAATGCGAAAATAACTGTTTTTTGAACGAAATATCGATAAATTCGTCGACATATTTCTCTATTTAGACAAAAAGTTATTTTTTAGACTTGTAATACTCCAAAAGATTCATCTTATAGTTTGAGGGGGGTTTAATTGCAAAGAGTACCCTCATCAAGGTCTGAAGAATTTGAAGAATTTGCAGAAAGATCAGATGCTAATGTTCAGAATTCCCCCAAAAAAAAAATAAAAATTAAAACCTGCAATCCCATTTTGATTTGCATTATCTTATCCCCCTTCACATGCAAAAAGACATTTCAAAATGCCCCATTCACATATGAATTATGAAGTATTTGGCCTGAAGTCCGTTAACTGAATCGAAACCACAAGGGTATTTTAGTAATTTACTTATCTCATAACTTGGTCAGAAGTCCCAGGAGCTCGGGTATTTTCTGAAGTTTCTATGCCTCACATTTTTTGGAACATAACGAAATCATATTCGCGATTAATGCAGTTTCATTTACCGTAACAAGATTCCATTTTTTTTCGACTGAAATTGTTATATTCTTTTTTAATCTCTGACTTGAAAAAACACAGCTTGCAATGGTGAAGAACCAGCGCTTGGCGGCAAAGCTGATCAACGGTAACATTTACGATTGTGTCTGCCGATTTGAACCAGCGGCGTGAAATTACTTTATTGCCCATCATATGCTCCATTGGGATTATTAGTAAAAACTAAAATCAAGCAAGTTAAAGATTACTTGCTAATAAGTGATGTCCCCAAAATGTGTAATAAGTAAATGTAAATTATAACTTTGAGTTGATGAGTGTTAGAAATTATGAACAAAGGACTAATTTGAGGTCAATTTAAGGGAGTTTGTTGAGTGTCAGAAATTACTGTACATGGTTTTTTCTTTTTGGCTTTGACATATGATGGAATGTAGATAATTATTAGTGCGATAATCAGATTTTTATAATTATTTCTTTTATTATTTAGTGCCTTTTCTTTTTAAATATATTTATCTAACATGGTATAATTGTTGCTCCATATTTTCATAATCTTTGTAGAACATATGCGTGCACGCATGAGTATGTGTTTATCTAAAGTTCACACAATTATTTGCCTTTATATGAGAATATTTATATCTTGATGATGGATTTTGAGACCAAAATGTTTTGCTAGGGAATAGAATAGAATATTTATTTAGGAAGTAATAAATTATTTCTAATTTTTGTTGCGGGAAAGGATTTTAATACCTGACTGATAGAACTATTGCAAAAAGGACGGATTTGTCCCAAATTTCACACCTTTTATTTTTTCTAAACTTAAATTCAATGGAAAATTAATTAATTTATCAAATGCCCTGCCTTAATTAAGCTTATAAATAAATTAAAGTTAAAATTGGTTAAATTAAATCAGTCAAAATATATCAAATTGGCAATAAATGTTCTCTCTGTTATGCATAAATAAAGCATTGACGTCCTAACCGTACAAGGTATATTTTAAATTCAAATTCAAAATTGGTTAATAAATCTAAATAAACATAGAATTACGTCTGTTTTGTACTGATTGGAATTCTGCATAAAAAAGCAGATTTGATTGTGATTTTGTAAGTCCATTTCTACTTGCTAAGAGCCTCCAATGCATAAATGTTGTTATCACATAAATTTTGACAAATGTCAATTATTTAGATGGATTGTGAACCACATAAGATATTTATTAAGTTCACAACTTTAAATCTAAAAAATTATCTACAATGCACAATGTGATCAAACATAATATTGTCCACTTGACAAAAATAAAAAAAATATAAATAAGAAACAAAAAGAATTAAATAATTAGATATTTTGAAAATGGTAATAATATTTCTCTCTCATTTCTCAATTGGTTGATTAGAATGTGAAAGAGAATGTGGATGAACCACATTCTTTTCTACATTGTAGACATTAATTATGTCCACCTTATCACTACATTTGTAATTACATTGTGCATTGTAGGATTAAAAATTAAGACATTGCTAAATTTGTTAATATAGAATGTAATGTACTACAACTACATTTTACCATTGGAGATGCTCTAATTAAAGATATCAGAATTATGCAACAACAGTAGTGAGATACCATTTTCAGTGCCTGTGCATTTGCTATGCTATAGGTAAAGTATTATAAGTTACTTAGTATTCATATAATATTAAAATTATAAGTTAGATATTGATATTATATTTTAAACATAGAGTATTATAATTTATATTTATGCATATAATATTAAAATTATAAGTTAGAGAAATGTATTATGTTTTAAAATTCGATCATTTTTTAAATATATAGTACATAACGATTTGATTACATATGAATCACTATATTGATTGAATCTAATATAATAAATATTGTATTTTTTATAATTTTAAGGAATCATGACCAATTAACAATGCCGGCTCCAGGGGAAGGCAGAGCAGGCTCTTGCCTAGGGCCTCAATTTATTTGGGGCCACATTTTTTTTTTATTTGTTAATACTATGCATTTGTGTTGGCTTTGATCCATTTAAATAAATGAAATGGCCTAATTAATGAATGATTAATGAGTAAATATTGACTTAGGTCATTACACAAATAAAGATGCTAATTAATTAAGCGATAAGGGCCTGGACTTAGTCCACTGCACAAATGAAGAAGCTAATTAATAAAAAGACTAACGGTTAAATATGTAATTCGTTTGTGAATTTGAAAACCTAAATATTTCATTTGTTTTCTTATGATGTTTGGTATGAACAATTTGTATTAGAATAATTATTTTCAGTGATATATTTTTTTTTTTTATCCTTAATGTCTTCGTGACTGCTTCAATGTAATTTATTAAATATCTCTGTAAACTCCAGAGATAATTTATCATTTCCAAGATCTATTTCAGGATCGATGAAAAACAAGAAAAATCATGTTTTTTCAATTATATATTATTTAGCTTGTCTTGTTGAATTAACTGTTTTTTTCTTCCATGCTTACAACACAAATTCAAATTGGGAACTTCGAAAAAAAAAAATTGTCTAGGGCCTCCAAATTTCTGGAGACGGCCCTGTTAATTAATTAGATGACAAATTTAAATTTATTATAACAGTTGCTTATGTGATTTTACAGAATTTTGATATTAAAATAATTCAATTTATTTAAAAATTAACCTCTTAGTCAGATAAAAAATTATAATAATAATTTTAGAGTAAATAACTTAAAAAAATAATATTTTTTTTTATATTTATATAAATTTCTTATATCATTTAGTGTAAAATATATTATTAATTTTAATAATAATTATTATATGATACAATAAAAAAATATAATTATTACTCAATTAATATAAAATGTAACGTTTTTGTCTTAATATTTATTGTTTTCCTTTTTTTTTTTAATTACAATTGACCAAAGCCTCTATAATCTGTATTTCAAGTACATTTATTTCCTTGCGATTTGCTGATTTTTCCCAAATAATAAATAAACAAATAAATATAATTTCTAACCAAAAATAAAAATGAAACCATAGATTTCACACAAACACACCTTCTTAGTAAAGAACTCAAAATCAATTTTGAAAACACGAGAGAAAGAAAGAGGGAATCTTTGCCTTAAACCTACTACTCTCTCTCTCTCTCTCTCTCTCTCTCTCTCTCTCTCTTCAGCTTCTTGAAAATGCACCACAAACTTTTCACCACCGTCAGTTAATTGCTTTTACAACATGGAAACCATAAAATCTCCTTCTCTTCTGTGTTTTTAATCAGATCTCTTATCTGGGCCTCGCGCAGTTAGTCTTGTTTACGACATTGGAGATTAATCAGGTTTGTTAAATTCTTCATTTTTCGATTTCAGTTTTCGTTTCTGTTGCCATGATGCAACTTGCTTAAATTGTGTTTTGTGCTGATTCTTAGTGGGCTCCTGCCCGTCGTGTTCTATGTCACAGCTGCTTCATTTTCCCATTTAAATCCCTTTCCTTTTCTTTTTTCCTGTTTTCTTTGCTGAGTTTTGGGGATTCTTGATTTCATGTTGGAGAAAACGAGGAAATTGCTTGACGTGATCTTTTTTCTTTGTTATAACAGCTTCGGTTGATGTTTTATGGGAAAAAGCTGTGATCTTTGTAGCACATTGTATAAAATGTGTAACAAGATGATGATATAAGAAACCCTAGAAACAGGGTTTTGTGGATTGTAAACCGAGTCAGACCGAAAAGCCTTGCAATAAAATTCCCTGAAGGAATGGATTCTGTTTCTGTATGTAATATAGGTAGTAAATGTACTACTGATGTTAATAATGGTCGTCCTGATGTAAATGATGTTAAATTAGCTGGAAGTTTAGGTAAAGGGTGCACAAGAGAATCTGTGGTGTGTGATGAAGTTGCTGGAAATAGTGAGTTGTATAAAGGGCTCGGTGTGGATAATTTTTACGATCATAAGACGCCAATTTTAGCGAATGGCGACCGAAAAATCAATAAAGAGATGCCGAATATGAAAGGGGACTCGAAATTCTGCGGAAATAAGGAAATTCAAACTGGGAAGCTTGAAGGGCTTGTCGAGAAAAGTGATGACTTTGTTCTTTCTCCCGAGCCCAGATCGCCCACAGAGATAGAATTTTCCGGAGATGGTATTAATTTGTTCGTGGAGGTTTTTGGTCCTTTAGATGGTCTGTCTGAGGGCAATGACAATAGCAGTGTAAAGGAGGAAGTTGAAGACTGCTCGCTTGAAAATAGTGAAAATACTAAAAGAGTGTTTTTCAAGAACGAGATGGAGAACAAAGTCGATGAACAGGAGTTCATGTTCGATGTGGGAGACTTGGTTTGGGCTAAAACCCGAACACCGATTTGGTGGCCCGGGATAATAACCGATCCTTCGATTGATGAAACAAAATCTGAAAAAAAGGGTGCCTACCTCGTCAAATACTTTGGGCCTGCAAATCACATGTGGTGCAATAATTCGGACTTGAAGCCTTTTATTGAGTATTATGAACAGCTATCGGGTCAGAACACTTCTAGAAGCTTCTGTGGTTCGGTCGAGAAGGCTCTGTTTGAGGTTGGCCATCTTGTGAAGTCGAAGATGACATGCCCTTGCTTTTCAAAAGAAAGTTTTTATCCCAAGGCTACAAAAGGAAAAACCGATGATGTTCTTCTATCCTTGTCTGGCTTTGATCCCACGTCATTCTTGACGGGCATCCGGAATTTCGCCAGCTCAGCTTGTTCGCCTGGTAAAATCGAGTTGATTGTGGCGAAAAATCGTCTGTCATCGTTTTACCGTTCGACCGGTCATCGTGAGCTGCCTATAGAGTTGCTATGTGCTCGGGATGGGTTGTCATATGAAGTCAAAGTTGAAGGCCGTGAAAAATCCTCGAGGGCTAAAAAGAAGAGAAACCCGAGCGATTATGATGACCTTGCTTCTGCTGATAAATTATCTTCCGGTAAAGGCTCCGAATCTCGGGAGAGAAAAAGGAGCAAATTTTTATCCTATCCTTTTGAAGATCTGAAGCATGGTTCGAGTTCAATGAAGAAAAAGCCGAAAAAATCTATGCAAGTGCGTCGTGTCGTGAGTAAAGCAGACGACATTAATGCTACGTCAAACGAATTGCTGGCTGAACTCCGCTCGGCGGTTTGTGATCCCTTTTATCTCGAGGGAAGCAAATATTCCGATTCGTTAGAAAGATTTTACTGTAGTTTTAGGTCGTTTGCTTTTCTGGATGCTGATATAGCCGATAAGGAGGCTCGAGCGGCCAAGCAGGTAACGAAATGCGAGAGGAAAAGTCCCGAAAATTCTTGCAAGGAAACTAAAGCGCCGAAGAAAAAAACTAAGGTTCTGCTTAAACAAGAATCTGAAAATTCAAGCTCAAATCTTGATTCCGTCACAAAAATGGATAACCCAGAAGCTTGCAAGGAAGCTAAAGCGCTGAAGAAGAAAAAAACTAAGGTGCCGAAACAAGAGTCTGAAAAATCAAGCTTGACGAATCTTGATTTCATTGACAAATTACCGAAAATGAATAATCCAGAAGCTTGCAAGGAAAAAGCAGTGGAGATTAAAAAAACTGAGGTTCTGAAACAAGAATCTGAAAATTCAAGCTCAATTCTTGATCCCGTCAACAAATTACCAAATATAGATAATCCAGAAGCAAAAGGAAGTAGCGCCTTACATACGAGTGCAGAAAAAGTGGAGCTATGGGTCACATCATCTGGTTTGGAGTTGAAAAGCTCCCTGGGTTTGGGCACAAATGTTAATAATAATCACAATGGTTCGTGTATCATTAGCTTCCTCCATCCTTGCCCCGATAATAAGAATAAGAATAATAACGAGCCGAACCACCCACTTTCAGGATTGCCCGACTTGAATAAAAACAGCCCTTTCCCAGACGAGCAGGTTCCACTCACAGAGCCTTCACGAATATCAAAAATCAGTCTTCATCAGTCAGCCTCTTCAAAAGAGGCGGTGGGACCCACTCCCTCTCCAAATATCCTGCAATTCACTAATGGCATCATAAATACGTGGCCTGGGCCGTTTGCTGTACAGGAATCCGGAAAAGGAAAAGCGGAGGAAATAAACAAAGCGTCTCGATTTCCCAATCGTGTCGAGAATTTACCCGGAAATAAACAAGACGTCTCGTCGTCAGACGGAAAGCAGCCGCAAAAACGGGCCCGCAAGGAAGATCCAGGTGGCAGACTCGTCTTGAAATTCGAGCCCGGTTTTCCCCTGCCATCCTCCGAAACGCTGTCTGCCAAATTCTCACGCTACGGTTTGGTGAACAAGTCCGAAATCCGTTTTCTTGACGAGACGACTGTTGAGATACCTTACGTGAGGACTCCCGATTTGTGTTTTGCCCATCGAAGCCTAGAGAGCGAAAGCCCGTTTGGGAAGGCTCTCGTGGGCTTCGAGCTAAACTGTCCACACTTGAAATTGGAGAAAAAGCCACGAAAAAGCCCGGTTCTCACGGTTGGGCCCCATACCAAGATGCCAGCTTGGCGTGCATTGGAGGTGCCCAGGATGCTAGCTAGGCCTGTCGAGGTGGGGCCCAGGGTTCCAGCTGGGGCTTCGCCAGATATTGCGTTTATGAAGAAAAATGTTGAGATGATGAAGTTGACTCTGGAGAAAATGGGGGATGAGGTCCAGCCAGACGTGAGAGCTAAGTTGGAGAATGAGATTCGGGCTTTCCTCGACAAGATCGAGAATGTGGCTGGAAGCTCGTCCTCGACTTGAGCTTGACGGCTAGTTGACTTTTTTATTTTTATTTTTATTTTTTGGTTTATTTTGCTTGTCATTTTAAACTTGTATTTTTCTGTTTCTGTGCTCCATCCCTCCATTTGTTGTTAACAGTTAGGATAACTACATATCATGGTGTTTGAGTAATTGCATTGAGATGGCTTTTGGAAGGATGACTGACTTAAAAGTTAAAATTATTTCTGAGGACTCTGAAATTGAACGTGAACTCTAGATTAGACCTGCCTGTTCGTCGGCCTAACGAGAAATTCTTAGGAGGAGCAGAGCAAGTCGCGTTTACAGCCAGAGCTTCTCGTTGGCTTATGAGGGAAATATCGATTCTTTTAGACGGTGTCTAGAAGCTGAGGGATGCTTTGTTATAGAGTTTGGAGGCACATTCACTTAGGCTAGTAAGGATATAAAGTACTTCTCGAATGGAGGGCTAATATGTATTGTAATCACTAGTTTTAGTTCCATATTTGTTATACTGCCCTCTCTAGAGTAGATAGACTTCGCTTGGCACTCGTTTTATATCTGTATTTGAGTTCATTTCTCTCTCTCGATTTCTCATGAGTTTTTAGCGTTTTTGAAGTGAACTGTACAAGAACTTGATCTTCAGATTTCCAGTGCTTGTTTGAAGGATTTAGGTTTTTCTCTTTCGTATTTTCTCTGGCATATAATATTTCATCATCCGAATAATCGGAATGTGAGAAGATTATTAGTCCATGGCACCAAACTTGTGATTGGAGACAGGATAATTTACACACACTTACGGGTGTGGGTTGATGGGTTGATCTAACGGCTCAGCTTTCTCATATAATGATTATGATCAAATGATTACATTGGCCTAACCATAAGCTACTACTAGCAATAGTGATTTCTTGTGGTGCCACAAGATCATGAATATAGAAATGTAGGATTAAGGTGAGTCGACTCAGTCATACTCTCTAAATAAAAATATATATTTGTTTAAATTGATGCAAATTTATTGAGAAAAATACGAGTCTTTTTCAAGTTTGAAATGTTATGTCGAAGTTTGAACTTGAAATCAATCGATCTGTGTATATTGAAGATTTTATGGTCTATTGGGTATTTGGGTGTAATGTTTTGTTGTACTTTCAATGCCAATAAATTTTGAATATGAAGCTTTTGTTAAAAACAACGTTTTCAGTCATATACTTTTCAACTTCCCTAAACCACTAAAAAATGATCAATTTATTTTAAAAGTGAACCTAAGTACACAGGTAGTCAGTGACTCGATAGTCCTCATAAGTAAGCCAAAAACATTCTTTTGCTTTAATATAAAAGTAAAATTCTTACAAAAGAACAACATTATCTTTCTCGAACTGCCACCAAATCTAACATGGATCTTTGAATTTTTTTCTACACCATCTTTTAATAGAAAATTAATTACTAACACAATCAAACAAAATCAGTAAACTAAGACATATTATATGCCCAGAGACTGGCATAATAACATTTCCCCATTCACACCCAAATCAAGAATTCCTTCAACATACATAGGAGGGAATTACATAAAACATAAGCAAAATATTTAAAAAATTACAAAAACNGATAACTAATCCACCCTAATCCCACTCTCCTCTCATTTTCCATCAACTCACCAACATTACACGTGTAGCAAGAGTTACTCATGATTAATTAATCACTCTAAAACCCCACTCTCCTCTCATTTTCCATCAACTCACCAACATTACACATGTAGCAAGAGTTACTCATGATTAATTAATCACTCGGAAACCGACTTAATCAATCAAACTAACGGATTCGTCGCCGATGGCCCGAACCCGTTCATCATCCCCGCCCACGACTCGAGCCCCCCGATAATATTGTACCCGTACGCATCCTTAATCCCGGCATCCAAATTACAATCTTGCCACTCGAGTGACAAAACCCGAGCGCTCGGCTTCACATCAACCTCATGACAATGATTAATGTGCTCCACAACATTATTATTATTATTGCTATATCCAAGATGATTACTTTCATCATAAGGCAACATCAACCTTTGGCAGCTCTCAAGAATATTCAAATTCAAATCCCCACTAGGATTGCCAATCCCGGGCCCCAACGTACCAAACGCGTGACCATTAATCCCGAGGTCGCCGCCTCTAGGGTTTTGTTGCGGCATGCCCACGAATGCATCGAAATATAATCCCGAGCCCGTGGGATTGTACAATCCCGAGAAGCTCAGCTGCTCGGGGAATGCCAGCTGGAGCTCGGTGTTCTCCGGGTGGCCGAGGATAACCGGTGGGGATGGCGATGGTGACGTGGCGGCTTTCTTGGGGTTGTTTGAGGGCACTTTCTTGTTTTTCCGGCAGCCGCCGCCAACCGGGATGTTGCGGAGGGTGCCGCCTTTGGTCCAATAGCGGCGGCACGTCTTGCAGAAGTAGCGTGGCTGAGAGAGACTGTAGTTGTTGTAGTAGCAGAATTTGGTGTGAGTCGACTCGCACCTCGGGCACTTGAGGGCCGCGTGCTCGTGCGGTGGCCGGCTGAGCCGGCGGCCGCACGAGAGGATGTCCGGTTCATGGGGCGAGTCGATCATGAGGCCACCGGAGTTTTCGTCGGAAATCGGTCCCTTTTTTTTTAGATAAAATAAAGAAAATGAGAAAGGGAAAATGAATTGATTAATGTGTTTGTGTGTGTGTGTTAGGTGAGTGAGTTGAAATTCTTGATAGCTTATTAGGGTTGCTTATGATGTGTTGGTTAAATTCACATGGAATGTGTTTTTAGTTTTTGAGAAAATGAGGGGTGGGATAGTAAGGGGCACTTGGCTTGTCTATATGTGGAAAGTTCATTGAATAAGGGGAGATTGAAATAGTAATGATAGGGTCTACAATAATTCACATATATTCTTATTTGTGTTTTACTTAAGTGTTTAATTAGTTATAATTTAATGTGTAATATGGTACAAATTTTTCTTGTATATTATATAAATTTTTGTGTAAGACTGTCTAGTGGTCATATGGGAAAACCGTAATACTTTTTTTTTTTTAATGAAAATGCATAATTATTCTAAGAAACGTTATACTTTATTTATATTATTTTCTAAAATATGACGTTTAAGTTATTAAAAGAATGTGTATTAGTTGAAAAATTATGATTCTTTTAACCGTTAGGATTGCCTAACAACAACTTTACGATTATATGATGTTTTAAGAGAGAGAATTTGGGTTGATTGATTAGAGAAAAGATGGAAAATGGAATGTCGGTAATAGTTTTAGTCATATGAAAGAGCCAATGATACAATGTGGGCTCAGCTTTAAACATTGCACTAATTTTCAAAATTTGGCTACTTTGAAAGTCTTGGCCACAAGCAAAAGGGGCTCTATACCATTTTTCAAACTACGTGTGCACTATATAATTATATAGAATAGACTGCAGAAGAGTATATCAGACATATATATTCAGGTCATTTAAATAACATTTAGAAAGCAGAANAATCCTTATAAAACAACTCATCATGAGAAACAAAATATAAGTCTAATTCGGTAAAGTTAATGTTCATTAGTCATTTAGTCCATAAATTTAACCATGTCAAATGCCAAAATAGTATGAATATCTCGGAATAATGTTAGGTAAAAAGTATGACATTTCATTTTCATTGTTTATGTATGATTCACAAGAATGTATGACTGTCTAATGGTTAGACAGCCTCACTAACACCAGTATTTGTGTTGAAATTTGTATTCACATTATAAATTAAGTACATCGGTGAAAGTATTTTTCCGTACAAGAATGCATAGATTTTATTTATTTTTGGCCATTGGATTAAACTTTAGAGAAAAAAATTTAACCAACTCTGAGAAAATGTATTCGCATGCATGCATATGTTCAGTTATTGTTGTTAATAGTTTATGTTACCTGCAGCCAGTCTGAGGAGTCCATGCAAACTTGGAGAGAAGTAATGCCCATCTCTTTAATTTCAAGCCAAAAAAACAAGCTAATTATCAACTCTTGGAAAAGATAAGATGAAGAAAAAAAAAAAAAAAAAAAAAACTCTTATTCTCTTGAATTTTGTTTTTCTCAACTCACTAACTTGATAATTATGATGCTGAAACTAAGAAGAAAAGGAAGAAGAGAGATAAAAATGGCTTTGTTTTGTGTGTTGTTGAGGGTGAATGAGAGAGTTTGGATGGTGTTTTTACTTTCTTTTTCTCTTGTGCAAATGCTAAAGTGGGGATGAGATTGTGAATATAAGAAGGAAGAAAAAGTAGGGAGTGGAGGGACCGAGTCACACTCACTGCAGCACATAGTCAAGAGGGTGAAATTGTAATTTTAGTCCTATAACGTTCAATACAAATTTTTGTTTGAGGCAGTCTAATCGTTAAACAGGTCGATTTGTTATACTTACTGAACAAAAATACATACTTATACTATCATATGTCATATTTTTATGTATGTTATTTTCTGAAGTATGGCATGTAAAAATGAAAGTATACATAGATGTAAAAGTATTATGTCTATTTAATTTTGGCATTAACTTTTGTTTCATATATGATTTAAGAGATGATTTGAAATTATATTTTCTTTATAGTGTAACACATATCAGAAATTATTGACTACACATCATTCATTGGTCAATGAATCTTAGATCAGTGTCTCAATTGCAAAAATTATAAAGTCTGTGCTGTGAATTGCCAAAATTGAACAGTTGTGTGCATTGAGGTTTCGATTTAGTTTGCTAATTTTTTTAATATTTTGGAGTTTATATTAGATATAATTATTTTTTAATTTGATTTCAGTTTCGTCCAATACTCTATGTTCATCAGCGCTTTTTACGACTAACGTACTGTTTGAAATTAGTAATGATATATACGTTGTACTTTTTTTTGTTGCAAAATTTTTCAATTTATTTCAAATTTTATATTTGTAATCCAACAAAAAATTTAATTGAAATAAAAAATATTATACTAAAACCCCTAAAAAAATTATCGACCAAAACACAAAAAAAAGGACAAAAATTAGCTCCTCATTATCCCGTCGGTTGAAAGCTAAATACCGCCCCCACAAATTCACCCAAAAGGGAACACCCGGGCCCACTCCATGGATCCCATCAACGGCTTAGTTCTGTTGTCCAAACACCGAAGCGATTAATCTACGGCCACAGATGAAACAACTGGACCGTAACTTTTGTGTGGGTCCTACCAGAAAAGTACGGTGCGTGAAGTCTATGTCTGACGTGGCACATCAGCATCTTTTGGTCCAAATGGCCTGCCGCGTGGGACCCACTCGCACTCCCCTCGCAAGCAAAGGATAATTCTATTTTGTACCACGTTTCTCATCCTCCTAATTTTTTTTCGCCCTTTTATTTGGACTAAAATTTAAATATTTTGAAATTCGAAAACGTGACATTGGGCAGTGATAGTTAGATTTAACACAACCCATACTTATAAATTAAGGTTCTATGTTTTTTAAAAAAATAATATTAACTAAAGTATAAGTATTCATAATATAAGTATGTATTTTTTTCATAATTCTATGATAGATACACCCGCTTAAAGATTAGATTATTTGAAACAGTCATACAAGAGTTTGTATTTTGAAATCATCGAAGGATTAATTTGTGGATTAATCATTTAGCGTTTCCTAGAGAATTCCATTTTGTGCATATTTTACTAATGGATTTGTGGATTTTATGCATTTTCATTTATCTTGAAACTAAATAACATTAGTATATATATTCTTGCTAAGATTTCACTATAGTCTGATTTGCAATTTTGTTGTTAATTGGGGAGTTTTTTTCTCTTCACCTTCCTTACATGAAAATCTTAATTCTTGAATGTTATGACTTCAATATAATACAAATTTCCATTTATTTGTAGTTCCCCTAGGCATTTTTGGATATTTTGATTTCAATAGAAAAATTTGGGATAAAATGGATATCGCTCCTTATTGAATAACCAAAAAAGAAAAAAAAAAAATGAACCTACTAACAAGGTATTGTCCTTTTCTGATTTTTAACCGTTGGATTAATATAGTATCGTATAGATCTGTATGAGTATATACAGATATATATACTAATGTTATTTAGTGTTAGTAATAACCAACTAAAGATAGATACCGATGTAGTAGCATATGTATATAGGTTCTTTCTATGTTGTCTAGCCTAATTGCTTTGGATACTTAC